CAGGTCTGTCACAGACCTCTGCTACCAATTTCTGTTCTCCTTTGTTTCTCCATTGCTATGACAAAATACTCTGACCAATACCAACTTGGGGAGGAAAGAGTTTATTTGGCTTACATCTCCTGGGTCACAGTTCATCAGGGAGCCCAAGGTAGGAACTCAGGGCAGGAACCTAGAGGCAGGAGTTGGATCAAAGGAATGCTCCTTATTGGCTTGCTACCCTGACCCATGCTCACCCTGCTTTCGTACACAATAGACCACCTGCCCAGGGATGGCACCACCCACAGTGGGCTGGACTCTCCCACATCACTCAATAATCAAAAAGGTGCCCCACAGACATGGCCACAGGCAAGTCCAATGGAGGCAATTCCCCAATTGAGGCTCCCTCAACCCAGGTGTGTCAAGTTGACATACTAAAGCTATCCAGAACAGATGGTTCTTAGCTGCTATGTGAGTGCTGAGAATCCAACCCAGGTCCTCTGCAAGAACAGTCTGTGCTCTTAACCCCTGAGTCATCTCTCCTGCCCCTGAGCTCACTTTCTAATATAGCCCAGTACCACCTGCCTAGGGAATGGTCCTCCCCTACCAGTGGACTGGGCCCTCCTGCATTGATTAACAAGATAATCCCCCACAGACATACCCCAGGGCAATCTGATCTCTAGACTGTGTCAGGTTGACAGTAAAAGCTAACTAGGACTGGGAGTTTTTCCAAGTTGCAAATTTTAGCCACTGGAATTCTCTCAAGTTTGAGGTCTACTGCACCCTCTAGTGGGCTGGGTTGGATTCTGGGAATTATAGCAAATGGTTCTCCCACAGGAAGAGCTTTCTTATTTATTGTATTAGAGGAAATTTATTTCTTCTTCTTCTCAGGGTGTAATGAAACAGATCCCTAAGCTTGTTTTTAGTTTTGGGGGTGTTTTTCTGGCATTGTGTAAGGAAGACAAATGTGTTTTCAGCACAGTGAAAATCCCCACTGAGGAATGGAAGCTTCTGGACTGGAGTCCTCTCTAGCATCACCCACAGACCTCCTGCACTACAAATCGCATAATCCATTTTGAATGGAAAGGAAACTACGTGCAAAACAATGCCAGAGGGTCTGTTCCCAACCCCCAGTGACAGCAGTTCCCTCTAGTCTGTTATCTTTTTATATTTTCTGTTCTTCAACAACCTGTGAGACTTTGTAGAAGGAGCACTGATGTTCTAAGAAGTGAGACTATTGTGCTTGTCTGATAAACTGCAGCCCTAGGAAAATGTGGGTGACTCTCTGAGCCTTGCCGTTGGATGAAAGTGTTGCAGCTCCAAAAAATGCCTGTGATGGTTGATGGATTGCCACCTTCACAGGATCTAGAATCGGCTAGGGGACAAGCCTCTGGGTGTGTTGGTCAGAGAGTTTCTAGATTTGGTTGAGGTGGGAAGCCCACCCTAAATGTGGGGAACATTGTTTCAGGCGTTGGGGTCCAGACTGAATGAAAAAGAGAAAGTGCCAGCACTCATCTCTCTCTGCTTCCTGACTGCAGATGCCGCGTGACCAGCTGCCTCCGGCTCCTGCTGCCCTGCCCTGCCTTCCCACTGTGACCGGCTGTACCCTCAGTCTGTGAGCCAAAAGAAACTTTTCTTCACTTAAGTTGCTTCTTGTCAGGTGTTTGGTCATAGTCAGAAGAAAAACAACTAATACAATGCTCAGGGTGTGCGCTTCTGTTTGTAAAGTAATCCGACTCAGTGGTCAAACTAGTTGGTAGGATGGAAGTCTGGGCAGTGTTTGTCTGGATGCAGGATGCTTGGGTGGGGCTGGCTGGGGCATTCAGGGCCTGATCATGTTCTGTTTTGTAGTTTTTCTTTTTATTTATTTTTATTCTTTTTATGAGAGCTTTTTACACAACCTTGGCTGGCCTAGAACTCAATACGTAGACCAGCCTAGCCTTGAACTCACAGAGATCTCCCTGCCTCTACCGCCTGAGTGCTGGTTTTGAGGTGTGGGTCACCTTGCCTGGCTCTGTTTGGTTTTGATCTGCGTACTGGTCACATAAGTATTCGTTCACCTTATGACAGTTCATTCATCTACAATACAGTGGGTTCTTTTGCCATTGGTTTTGAGTTTTTAAAACATTGCATGAGAACCTTATTTGTCTGGGTTACAGAGCATTTATGGGGCTATGACACCTTTTTGCTTTAGTAAGTGCCTCATTGGTCCTCATTCTAATCTGGACTATGGAGGCCATATTTTCTAACACCCACCCCATTAGTCACATCTCCAACCCTATCCCCCTTTCTGTGTAGCCTGAATAATATAAACTATCCTGAGGGTTCAAGCAGAATAAATACAATATGGAGAACCAGTCATACAGGTGAAGCAAAATCTGGGAGGCCATGCAAGGAGAACAGTGCAACCAGAACCAACCATGAAGGAGTCCCCCACCACAGGGGCTGAGAGAACACAGATTGATAGTATCGAAACAGGGACCAGAGTCCTGTGCTGATGGATGAGATGGTGGCAGGAGGCTGCTGGGTGAGAACTAGGGTGGCAAATGGAGGTGTTGTACCCCATCCACTGGACCCCAAAAAACCACCGAGGACCCAACACACCAAAATGCAAAAGCAAAGGTTTATGGTTTATTCGGGCTTAAGCTCAGGCTCTCAGACCTCACCAACTCAACGGATCCGTGCTGAGAGCCCAGAGTAAGGGAGAGTGGAGCCTTTTATAGGTTTTAGACAAAGGGGAGTGGGGGAGATACCGAAGATACATTTTGGTTGGTTCAAGGAGCCCGCGCGCCCCAACATATTTTTAAACCGATTGGATGTATAAGATGCAGCCCTGGAAGTTTCTTATTGGTAGGTGCTATTCTCAGGGCTGTGGAATGTGCTGACTGTTACCTGTGGGGCCAGGAGTCTCTGTTTTTACCTTATAGGGCAGTTTTTATGCTCAGGCTTGCTTAATCTGTAGTTTCCTGGAAGGGGGGTGGGGAATAGCAGGCGGGGGTCAGGGCATGCCAGGGCATGTCTAGGCATGTCTAAAGCAGCAGCCAAGCATTTTACAGAAGCTAAAAGAGCAATTAGTGGGGGTCTGGAGGGATTGGGGGCTAGTGGGTGAATGAAGAGGGTCTCAGGGTTCTACAGAGGTACCAGAGCAAGCTGGGGCCACAGCTCCTACAGGAAGATGTCCTGAAGGCCCAGAGGTGACAGCTGCCCCAGCTTTTCCCTTCTCTCCAGCCGCCATCACTGCTTCCCATTGGCTGAACTCGGTCAGGAACAGCAGTGAGAAGGCATGGGACACAGGAGGGAGGAGACAGACCTGCAAGCAGGCTCCCAAAGTGCAGCTCCTTTGCTCGGATTCTTCCCCCAGGGCCACTTTCTTACCTTTCCCAAAGCCCTTCTCCCTCTCGGGATCCTCTGCTGCGAAGGAGGTGCCGTCAGCTGTGTGCCACTCCAATCCCCCTCCACCGGGGCCATTAGACTAAGCATACCTACCTCAGTGTCTGCACAGCACCCTCAACTCTGCACATTCCTAAAGACAATAGGTGACAGAGTGGGAGACACACCCTAAAGTGACCCTTGGTACAATCCTCTCTTTTAGGAAAGGGTGGAGCATGTGACTGACTTCTAATCTGGATAATAGAACAGAGGAGACAGGATATCTTTCCTATGACTCCAGTGCACTGCTGGGGCCCTTAGTCATACAGCAGCAAGAAGATGAAGCTGCCATCAACCTGAGTGAACTTGGACCTGGATTCTTCCCGGGCATGTTTTTGGATCAGAACAGAGGTGGACTGCCACTAAACTATAGTGTGGGACCCTGAGTACAGGACTCGTGACAGACGCTGTGGCTGAGTTTCTCAACCAGAAAAACTATGGACTAGTAAGTACAGTGGGGCTGGGGAGACGGCTCAGTTGGTGAAGTGCTTGTGTACCAGCATCCCCAGAATCCTTGTGAAAAAGTCAGGCATGATGGACACGCATATACTTCCAGGGCTGGGAAAGTGGAGACAAGCACATCCCTGGAGCTTGCTGGCCAGTCAGCCTAGTCCAGTCAGTGAGCACCAAGCCATGAGAGACCCTGTATTGAAAGAAAGAGGTGGACAGTGACTGAGGAACAGTACCTGAGGTTGACTGCTGGCCACCACATATATGCATACCCACATACACACACACACAGACACAGACACACATGCTGTATTAATATACACGTAACACTACATCTATGCATACTGTATTTATACACACACACACACACACTGTATCTATTACACATGCACCATATCTACATATGTACCCATACATGTTATATTTATAAACACATACACATTGTAGCTATACACACACACATACTTACACACTGGATCTATACAGGCATCCATATATACACTGTAGCTACACACACACACACACACACACTCTATATCTACACAGGCACTCATACATGCTATATTTATACACACATATACACATGCACACAGTGTATCTACACATACACAAAGTACATGTGGTTTTAGGCCACTACGACTGTGGGACTTTGTTACACTACAAAAGAAAACTAATTCACAAAGTGGGAAGGGAAGTGTGCTACCCACTTAAGTGCCCAAGCCACCCAGTCCCTTTTACAAAGGTGGGATGGTAAGCCGATCCAAGCCTTGTAATTGCTTCCCTCCTTACTCATGCTCTAGCTTAGCCAGAGCTGCTAGGGACAACTTGGGTCAGGAGTCAGGTGCATTGCTCCGAAGCCCTGCAGCTGGGGGCCAGGTGGGGTGGGGCTGCAGTATGGGAAAGTATTGATGTTCCAGTTGGACTCTGGAAACCTGTAGGTGTTCCTGCCCAGGCCCAAGAGACTGGATTCGGGGTGATCTGTGACCAAGGATGCAAGTGGACTTGTGGCTGTGGTGCCTTTCGCTGCCATGGGACACATACGTGGATAGAAGCACAAGCCGCTGAACACTGGGCTCCCCTCTTTAATGTCATTTTATTTCCTCTCATGAATGGGTGGCAGGGGAGGAGGGATCCAATAGATTCCTCTGGAAACTGTCAAGATACGGGGAAGATGAAAGCAAAATTTGCATAGATTGGGATGCCCGCAGTTTGGATTTTCAAGACCTAAAACATGAAACAAAACAGAGCATATGGGACTTTAAGAACAAGACCACTATACCAATGATTTCAGAAGCGGGTGGTTCCCAACCCTGGCTACACATCAGAATGGCTCACTGAGGGGCATAAGTAAATGATATCTCAGATATAGATACAGTGAATGCCTACATCTCACAGGTGCAGCTTAGGAGTTGCCATAAGGCCCCAGCTGCATACCCACGCAGCTCTCGCCAATCAAAGTGAAGCACATCTCCAGCCCTGAAATCTCCTTTAAAATTAAAAGGGGAGGCCCTCACCAGCCTAGCCTCTGCCACACCCCACAAGGGGAAGGCCGTGGGGAGTCCAGTCTCACAGGAAGAACCTTTGGAGGCATTTATAATAATTAAAACCCAGGTCCCATCCTTGGGTCATTTGGGACCACCACTTGTGTGGTCTCCTGGTCTCTAGCAACGGCATGTCAACACCCCAGGTCATTCTAATGTGCTCTCAGGGTCAGTACCAAGAAGGACTCTGTGGTTTTGTGGCACAGCCCCATTCCTAGCAGGGCACCAGCAGAATCCCCAACCTTGAATGAACTTGCAGACTAAAGAGATCCTCCTTGGTTTGGGGGTCTTTTGAGACTGTGGCCAGCTACCAAGTATGCCCTGTGGCTGGCACCACTCGGGTTGAAGGGCTCCATCCTCTTGGGTAAGCCAGAGGGAGGCAGGGGGCCTGGGAAGGGTTTCAGTGGTACTGATGGATTATGCCTGGGTACCAGAGGAAGTGATGGTACCAACCACACCCCACTGAGCCTCCCCATGCCTATGCACACAAATACCTCCTCCTGACATTTACAAAACGGGTCGGCCATGACCCTGATCTGATTTTTGTAGAATTATTAGTAACCACCAGAGCCGTGATAATCCTAAAACAATGGAACGTGGGCTTCCTGTAGATCACTGGCCATTTGAAGCCAGGTGTCCCCAGAAGTGGGTGAGGGAGGGAAGGAGCAAAGAGGAACAAGAGAGAAGGGGAAGGCCAAGGGGACACTCACATGGCTTTTGCAGCCCGGCTTGAGGAACCCAAACTTCTGTGTGATCTGGTTGGTCCTGAACTCCTGCCACCTGCCATCCACCAGTGTCTGGGCTCTGATCTCATACCTCACCAGGCGCTGGGCTCTCAAGCTGATGGCACTGTGCTCACAGATGGGGGAGGGGCACTCCAAGTCTGTATGTTTTATTCTCTGCAAAGAGAGTCACCCATCCCATGAGCCCTGTGACCAGGGTGACCAGAGCTAGCAAACTGAGTTCCTGACACACGGACTTTCTACTCTGTGTGACACACGGCCTTTCTATTCTGTGTGCACAGACAGCAAGAGGACATTCCCCCACGGCATCATTTCCTGGGGCCATTGCCTGAATCCAGTGACACAGAGCCCTTGCCATATGCAAACCATTTCCAACAGACATCAAATCAAACATTAAATCAAGCCTCTTTGTCACTCTGCTGGAATCGAAACTTCAACATAATATACTTAGGGGACTATGGACTGGTGGTGATATGTAATTCATCTTTTCCATCAGTAAAATTCGTTAGGGAGATACCTTAGGGTCTGGTGACCAAGAATGGAGGCCTCAGGAATAAGTGACTTGCTCTGGGACACATTGAAAAGTAGTGGCAAAACTGGGACTCAAATTCAGATTTGGGGGCTGGAGAGATGGCTCAGTGGTTAAGAGCACTGGCTGCTCTTGAAGAAGACCCTGGTTCGAATCCCAGTACCCACATGGTGGGTAACATCCATCCATAACTCCAGTTCCAGGGGATCTGACACCCTCTTCTGTCCTCTGTGGGCATTTCACAGCATAGGTTCACTTATGTACACGCAGGCAATATATTCGTGTACATAAAATAATAAATAAAATATTAAAAAGGACCCAGATTTTATAATTTGCTCATTCATTCATTTACTCATCCATCTATTCAGTCAGTCAGTCAATTGTTTAAAGTTCCCCAGCAGGGCTGGAGAGATAGCTCAGTGGTTAAGAGCAATGGCTGTTCTTGCGGAAGACCCAGGTTCAAATCCCACCACCCACATGGCAGCTAACAAACATCCGTAACTCCAGTTACAGGGGATCTGACTCCCTCTTCTGTCCTCTGAGAGCACTTCACGATATGGGTGCCCTTAAATCCATGCAGGCAATACACTCATACACATAAGATAAAAATACTAAGTAAAGCCGGGTGTGGTGGCACATGCCTTTAATCCCAGCACTCGGGAGGCAGAGGCAGGTGGATCTCTGTGAGTTCAAGTCCAGCCTGGTTTACATAATGAGTTCTAAGCCAGCTGGGGCTACAAGGAAACCCTGTCTCAAAAAGACAAAAAAAAAAAAAACCTAAGTAAAATTTTTTTGAAAAATAGTTCTCCGAGATCTAGGTAGTAACCGATGGTAGTAATGAGAAGCAGAATGAGATGTGATTTCTCAGGAGGCTTGCTGTTTAGAGAGGAGAGATTTCTAAGCAAACGTAGAAATGGAAATGGAACCCAGCACTTCACCACCATCATCATCAACACAAATGTAGGGAGTAGGGATGGAATGTAGCTCAGTGCTTCACACGCAAGAGGCCCTAAGTTCCATCCTCAGTACCCACAAGCAAATAAAGCAAAAATGTGCAAGGCTTCTCTGTCCGGCCTGTTCCAAGCTCTTTGCACAAATTAACATATTTAATACTCTGAGGAAGGTCCTGTTATTTTCTTCATCCTTTTTTTAAAATTATTGTTTTGATTTTTAAGATTTATTATTTTTATTTTATGTGTATGAGTGTATTGCCTGCTTGTATGTGAGTGCACCCGTCCGTGTCTTGCAATGCCGCAGAGGTCAGAAGAGGGCTTCGGAGTCCCCTGGAACTGGAGTTAAGGACGGTTCATTGCCACCATGTGGGTGCTGGGAATCGAACCTGGGTCCTCTGCAAGAGCAGTCAGTGCCCTTAACTGCTAAGCCATCTCTCCAGCCCCTATTGTCTTCATCTTATGGGCAAGAGGTTCATGGGACTTGCCGAGCTCATTCAGTTAGCCAGGCAGTCTGACTAAAACTCCCTGACCTTAATAGTCATCTCCCATCTCTCCCGAGGGCTCACAAGAGCACTGAGAAGTCGCCTCAGATGCCCCACACACCCATCTGCTGTGCCATTCTAAGCAGGCTTGTCCCCTCCTCCTCTTGTTGGCCTGTCACCTCCACAAGGAGTGACCACAGGCAAAGTATCACTTATAAACTGATTCCTACTAATTCCTTATGGTTCATCTACCCTAAGTGGCTGTTTCAGAGAGATCCCTTTCCTGTGCTCCCTCCTTACCTGCATAGAAAAACTGTAAGAGGTAGCGTCCTGTTTGATTCCCTTTATCTCAAAGAAGTATCCATATATAGAAATCTTTTCTGAATAAGTGGTGTATTCCTACAATGGGAAAGAAAAGCATCCAGGTGAAGGGAGACGCCATCAGTATTCACAGGCAAGAGGACACAGCAAAACTAATTCTAGTGACAACCAGGGTGTCTACTGACAACTGACTGATATTGTCACTACTCAGGAACAACTTCTGAGTTCTACCAACACTTGTAGTTACTATTTTTCATGCTGCTTTGTGAGGAAAATAAGTTAGGTGCTGTGGTCTTAAATGACCTGTGGGCTGCAACCCTTTGCAACAAAGCATCTTGTTCCAATCAGGTGGGCCTATGAGGTATGCTATACTCATGGTACTTGTAAAAAGTCCCGGCCCCACTTTGGTGGGTCTCTGCAACCAGGTGATTGAACCAGAGCGTCTCTCAGAAGATGGACTTGAAACACAAATTCTTTTCAGATCCCTTCTAATTGCCTTTAAAGAAGTCAGACAGGAGCATTTAAAAAAATGTATCTATCACAGCAAATCCAAGATAGAGTACAGCCACCAACTCCACACCCTGTCCTGTGACTGACTACTTCACCCTGGAGCTCCTTGGCCCACCACTGTTTGATTCTGAGACCCACTGAAATAACTACCCATAATGAGGTAACTTCAACAAACATGCACTTGAGAGTGGAGATGTTGAACCTTTGGCAGCTATCCGTCTTTGTGGGGAAAAGAGGTCAACTCATGGTTTCCTCGAACTTTCTTGCTTTTAAAATGAAAAAAAATCTTGAATCCTAGGAAAACTCTTCCATTCTGATCACCCTAGTGGGAAAATTTGGGCCACACACATCAGATTACTGACCAACCTATCCTGCCCTCTTTCTTATGAGCTTTATTTCCTAGGAGCTTGCTGGATCTACTATCAGAGGTCAGAGTAATCATGGGTATCCCTACAGAGCTCCTTCACTTAGCATAGGAGGGACCTTCCCTTCCCCTTGTTTGGGTTGAATTTTCAGTACCAGTCTAAAGAGTAGCCCGAACCTCACAGCCTGGGTAGAAAGATCTTTCAGATGGACCATGTTGCCTCCGCTCTCCAGCTGAAAGGGAAAGGCACACAATTCACCTGGTGCACAGACAGGAATATCTCTTACCATTCACTTCTGGATCCTCAGACCCCATGGTACCAGGAAGAAAGTCCCGTCTTCAGATATTTATTGAAAACCTACTATATCCAAGTACTGTTCCCAGTGCTTTCAAATGATGCAGTGAAGAGAGAAAAAAGTGCTAAGCAGTGTAGCCAGGGTAATATAATGTGTACATCACTAGCATCATCATGGGGCCAAGAATGGCCATGGTCCCAAATTCAAGAACAAGGCAGGCTCCTGCAATGCCATTGCAGAGTGAGGGTTGGGCAGTGCGGTGTGTATCTCAGGAGCATAATGCTGACAACCTAGCGTGACAGGAAGGACCTGGGCAGAGTCAGAGGGTGGAAAGATGGAGCTGGGGACTTCCTCAGGGTCAGCTTCTTTGGGTGCTTTTAGAGCACAGTTCTGAGTTATGTCCCAGAGAAGTGTTTTCCATAGAGTCATCGTGTTCAGGGAGTAAGGCGCTTGGAGCACGGCCTCGCACAACACAATAAGAACTTGTAGAGACAGCTGAATTTTAACTCGTGACTCATGCTTCAGAACTCAAACACTGCCTGCTTCATCTCTGAGAATGTACCATTGGAAACCCACATGAAGAACGACAGTTTGCATAGACAGTTCACAAAGGGAACACGTGGAAAAACATTCATGTTTACCAGTAATAAAGGAAGTGCATGTCTAAAGATGAAATGCCATTGCTCCATCTCAATGAACAAAAATGATTTGAAATTAAAACGCTCCACTCTGCCAAGTGTGTATATAGTGAGGCAAGTAAATCTCTTTCTAGGGGCAGAGAAGTTTGGTCCCAACATTTATTATTCACAAAGGGGACACGTGGAAAAACATTCGTGTTTACCAGTAATAAAGGAAGTGCATGTCTAAAGACGAAATGCCATTGCTCCATCTCAATGAACAAAAATGATTTGAAATTAAAACGCTCCACTCTGCCAAGTGTGTATATAGTGAGGCAAGTAAATCTCTTTCTAGGGGCAGAGAAGTTTGGTCCCAACATTTATTAATATGTATCATGAACGAAGTGCACATCCTGTATTGTAGCGCCAGCATGTCTACTGTTGAGACTCCCCTACAAAAAAGTAATTCAAAGTATAACAAAATAAACTATTATGTGACAGTGTGCTCCCTATTGAAAGGCAGTAGATATAATGGAGTGTTAACTGTAGTTGTCCTCTTTGGGTGATGGTCTGAGGGTAATTATTTTCTTTCTCTTTCCCTGTAGTTTGAATATTTTCAGTAATAAGCACATGTTACATTTGTAGGTGATACTTGTAGGTAGGACCTGGGTTTAGAGAAATGCATGATCAGAGCTCCTCCATCCTTAATGCCCTGAGCACATGGATGCCATGCTAGGCCTCCTCTGCCTCCCCATCCAGGTCAGCTCCCTGCTTCCCTGGAGGAGGATCCGGATATGCCCTGATCTCAGAGGCCCAGAGGTTTCAAATGCAGAACACATCTCCAGAAAAAGGAAAGTCAGGGAGGCAAGACAATTTGCGCATTGCTTCCTTGCAGAGCCGACTCACTGCGTGGTAATGGTTGGCTGCAACCTGGACCAGCCAGGATTCGGGGAAGAAGTTGATGTGCCTTAACTCCTCCAGATCCTTGCCTTAGAAAAGCAAAAGGAAAACGGGAGCATGGTTACAGCTTCTTCATAACCCAACCTCGGAAGTGACTCACTTAGAGGAAGAGAAAGAGACACTGGGCACCCAGGAAAGAGAAAGGGCTGGTCTCTTGTAAGTTTTGGTTGGTAAGATGGGAAAAAGACATTTTAGAGCCACTGTGGTTGTATTCAGGATCCATTTCTTTTATACTCCAAATTTATTCTTAAAAAAAAAAAAAACTTACAGAGCCCAGGAGATGGCTCAGTTTGCAAATGTGAGAACTGGCATTTGGATCCCCAGCACCCATGTAAAATGCTGGGTGGGCATGATGACCCACCTGTAACCCCAGGGTTGGGGAGGCAGAGACAGGAGCCCTGAAGCAAGCTGGGTAGCTAGACCAGATGAATCCATTGGCCCCAGGTTCAGTGATAGAGCCTACCTCAATACGTAAGGTGAGATTGATCAAAGAAGACACTATATCAACTTTTGGCCTAAATACACGCACACACACACACACACACACACACACACACACACACACACACACACACATTCATTTTTATCAGTTCTGTTTCTTTAGAGGACCTTCAAAGGAACAAATGAATCACTTCAAATTGCAATCCTAATTTCAATAAGAAAATTTCTGTGCTATATACCATTTTTTAAAGTTTGAGTTAAATTATATTATTTATTTATTTTTTGTCTTTTTGAGACAGGGGCTCCCTCTAGTCCCAGCTGGCCTAGGACTCACTATGTAGACCAGGCTGGTCTTCAACTCACAGAGATCTGTCTCTGTTTCTTGAGTGTTAGAAAGGTGTGGTCCACCACATCCAGCTTAAATTTTAAAAAATCGGCTTCTGTTTTAATTTTTCCTCATTTTCCCCCTAAGTCTCCATTCCCAGAGTCCATAAGGTTTGTGTGAGTTATAGAACAGGCTCTTTCACAACTAAGTGCTCCAGTCCCCTGGCTATAGTCCTGCTTGGCTGGATTTGAAATATTATCAGTGTCACTGTAGTCTCTAGAAGCAACTTGAGCAAAGCTACCTTGACTCCATCAGCCAGTCCTGAGTTTTCCAGCTACTATCCCACCTGCATAGCCACAAATGGCTTTGAAACAGTTCTCAAGAATCCTTCTAGGTAGCTGGGTGCGATGGCGCACACCTTTAGTCCCAGCACTCAGGAGGCAGAGGCAGAGGATCTCTGTGAGTTCAAGGCCAGCCTGGTCTACATAGTGAGTTCTAGACCAGCTATCTCAGTGGATGGACTCCTGGACTGCACACAACATGCACCCTAGTATTTTTCTCCTCTTTCCAAATCACAGTTGCCTTCTGTGTACCCAGACCATATGAGACCCAGAAAACAAAAGCCTGGCTTAGGGGTACAGACCTGGAGTTTGGGGATGCATTGAATAATATCTCTCAAATGTATTCAAGTGAAGAATTTGTTTCCAGTATATGCAATGAAAGAAACATTATATCAATTTGTAAGAAATTGTTCTGACATATGTCAAAAGGGGGAATTGAAAGCACTATGGCCAAGCCTGTTGTGCCACATCAGTTTGGCCAGTTTAAAGCCCCACAAATTACCGTTGGTGCCCCTCCTGGTCTTTGCTTCACATTTATTTCAATAGACTCAGTGTTTTGAGTATGCATGCCAGGAGGGGACGGGGAATAGAAGTTGGGATTGATATGCTTAGCCTGAGTGTGTTGGAAAGCCAAGAGAGACTAACCCACAGACGGGTGGAAAGGGTAGAGCCAGGATGAGCTATGCATTGCAAAGTAGGCCACAACCTGAGTATCAGTTGATAAACCCTTCTAAAGAACCAAGGTCACATGGGAGCACTTACCGCTGGTGATACCATGCAGCCGCAGGCAAAGGAACAGTGGCATCCAGCTCTGGCCTATGTCCTGCTCCAGGAAGCAGCACTTCTTGGGAAAGCTGAGCAGAGGCAAGGAGAACAGGTTTTCGGAAACTTCTCTGGAATGACCTAAGGCCTGAAAGCCATGACCTGGAGGCTGGTGGTTTCCCCAGCAGGCCCAGACGGGGCCCGGGTCACTCTGGGGTACATAGAGAATATGGGGAAGCTTAGCTAATATAACCAGGTGAGGGGTTGTATTCCCCTCTACCTCTGAGCTGTGCACATGGTAGGTGCCCAGCACACATACTAAATGACTGACAGTGACATCTGTCATGCACACAGGATTTCAATCTATTTTTTGAGTTTCACAGACCTCCTGTGGAACAGAGAAGGCAAGCATCATCAGCTCCATTTTACAGAATTAAAACTGAGCCTCAGCTGGGCTTTGAACTTGGGATGTCTGACCCTTCCTTTATAGATGTTGTAGTAAGAATCAAATTAGACCCTTCAGAAGCATTTTCTGGTTGAATTAGGAAGGAAAGGAGAGAGGGCGTGCGGGCCTCTCCTTCACCGTGAGCTCAGCTATAGCCAGTGTCAATGCTTAGTGCTGATCAGTTGCCACAAAGGCTGAAGGTCAGGGCTGGCTGCAGACGATCAGAACCCTCCAGGGAGGACATGCACATGCAGACATGCATTCACCACCCTCATTTTGAAACAATTTCCATCATAAAATGGTCATTTTTCACACACAATGAGGACATTGGAGGATAATTTTTTCAAGTCTTTTTGGAAATGCAAATTCAGTCCCTTGAGGCAGATCCTGCAGAAGACCAACCAAGGGCAAATTTAGAGTCCTTATTTAACATTTGTTTGTTTATTTATTTATTTATTTATTTAGGAGCAGGTGCATGCCACTGTGCATGTGTGGAGGTCAAAGGACATCTTGTCAGAATCAGTTCTCTCCTTCCACTATGTAGATTGAAGGGATCAAGCTGAGGTCACTGGGCTTGTAGCAAGGACCTTTGCCCGCTGAGTCACCTGTTCCACTTTCAAGAGTCTTTTGCTGTGAACCAAGAACCCAAATCATATACTGCTCCAGGTGGACCAGGTGCACCTTTGGCCCTATGTCCTGCCTCTGTTGGGGAACCTGCCCAGAATCATTACTGTTCAGGAGACCTGGGGCTCCTAGGACTCTCCAGGTCCTCTGTATGCCAGTAGTCCCAGTAGATAAGCCTCGGGGGGGGGGGGGGG